CTTCCTCTTTTGTTCTTTTTCCCACCCTCATCAGTGTTTGAGTGAGTTCACCTGTTTTTATTGCCTCTTTCTGTCTATGGTGTGTATTTGGTGTGTCTCAGTTTCCTCAGTCTTGGTCTGTTTCCCATTCCTTTTGTCTCCACTTTGTTTAATTCTGGCTTGCACCTTTTGGTTGCTCTACTTCTCTTTTAGATTTCTTCAGGTTTTTTGTCTTTCCAAGCACGTCTGTGTAAGACCTTCTGTTTAAATACATAATCTTTGAAATTACTGGCAGCCTGTTGCCCTTTTGTCTGCTTTTGGGTGAGTCAGTGAGCTCATTCAACAGGGCCAGGAGCATTACAAAAAGAGTTGCTAACAGGCAATTTGATCCCAATTGTAATGGTGCCAGTTTACCAAAATATGTAGAAACTGCATATGCTGCACAATGTGCAAACATAATGTATGTTTACAGGGTACCCTGTATTGTGTCCATGGATTTTTCTTCTATTAATCAAGAAGAGCAGTATGACCTGTTACCAGAGTGCTAAATATGCCGTTACACTTTTTGTCAAAGAGACTCTGACTGTGCCAGCCTGTTTCCATGAAACAATCCTGACTGCCATCATTGTTGTCCACTGTCCACTGCATGTCTACGCAGAAGGAGGTGGGTGGCACAGTCAGCACATGCAAATCTTAACACAGAGCACAGACACTGAAAGTCGTCTTACACTGTAAGTCTCTCACGCCCACATGTCTCTTTCAAGTGCTAAGCACAGACATGGAGAGAGATCAAATCGGACACAGGGGTTTTCTTTTGTTATTGCTTGAAGTCGGCGGTGCTCAGCCACGGCACCGGCTTACGCTGATTGCAGAGAAAGGAAACATGGAAAGGGAGGAATGTTGTTATATTCATTCTTTCACCGCAAGGCAAAGAAGAGGTATAATCAAATAAACAATGCAATGATGGAGAAAAGCAAGTGTTATTTATATAGCACATTCAATGGTGCATTAGAAAGCAAACAAACAGCAGGATTAAAAGAAAGGGCAGTAAAAATCATTTGAAGTCAAATGTATCAAGTTTGTATTATGTTGTGTGTGTTTGTGGATGTAAGTTATAAATGAACACATGGTTGGAGACCAAGCCAACAAACATGGAAGATGCAGGTTTTAGGAATGAATGACTGCAGCAGTGACACTTTCATATATAGCCTGTAAACTGCATGAGGACTTCTGA